TAAGGGGGAAAGGACTTTGGATGCCTTTCAAGTTACAGAATAAACTGGGGTCCCACAAAGTACTGGAAAAGCAACATTAACATTCTCTTAACCTTTAGGGCATTGTATGTCTTCCACTTCAGAAGCCATCATGAAATTCATATTGTCTCCATTCCATAAAACATCTTATCTTATCCCTTATGTTTGGAATGTACTCTATCCTCACTTCTAGGTATATTTCCTAGACTCCTTCAGTGCTCAGCTTAATTGCCATCTCTAGCGTTAAGACCTTTCCTCATTCCTGCCCCTCCTATTTCCAATAACTGGAAGGAGTCTAAGTTTTGAGGGGGAAAAAAGATGTATTTTTTATTTACTTATCTAGATATACGCTGTTCCTCTCCAGCGTATCTCAGCTTCTGGAGGGCAGGAATGGGATTCCTTTAGGTCTTTGTATTCCCAGTTACACCTAACAGATACTTAATAAATGCTTATTTGGTTGAATTGAATTAAAATAATTTCCCTTGAAGAACCCATGACTCTCATGGCTCTAACTGCTCATTTATATTCCAACAATAACCAAATCTTCACCTCTAGCCTGAATCACTCACCCAAACTCTATTCCCACATTTCCAACAGCATTAAGAGCATTTTCATTTGGAAGGGAAATCTTTCCCTCAAGTTCTCAGGCAGATCCTTTGGAAGTGGAAAGGCTTTGAGTATAGAGGGTATAGATTTAGTAATATTTTGTATGTCTGTCATCTGAGGACCAGCCTATGTAATTAGTGAGAGGTTCATCATCAGACTGACAATGGGGATGACATTTTTTGGGGGGAGTGGGATCAACTTTCCACCATTTACCAAGTCATCTATAAACTAAATTTTTGTAAGCCACAAAAGCTACAAGGATCCACATCAGTGACATAACAGATATTTTAAGTATTACACCACTAAATTAATAATCTGAGACTATCACAGTATACCTTTTCTGCCTAAAGTTAAACGTCTGCTTGTTTTTATTCTTTTGATATAGTCTGTCTAATTTACTATCTCTATAGCTAGCTATACATAAATATGTAGATATGTGTGCATGTATGTAAACAATTGTGAACATATGTGTGGATATATATACCTACATGTATAAGTATATATGTTTATGTACACACATATACACATTGCATGCTCATAATTTTTCACATATTGTTTCTTTCACTAGCATGAAAGCTCCCTGAGGACAAGGACAATTTTTGCCTTTGTTTGTGTCCCCAGCACTTAGCGCAGTGCCTGGCACTTAGTAGCCTTTTAATAAATGCTTATTGACTTGATCTGATTATAGGTAGGTAAATACAGGGTACACGTCACAGGACTCATCACAAAAGACATATCATATGGCAATATATATCAATATAATATGTATGTGCATTATACATAGAATCCATAGCAAAGCAAAAAAAAAAAGTCCTGGATTTGGAGATCCTAGGTTTAAATCCCAGCTCTGCTATCTCTACTGTTTGCTTAACCTTGGGTAATCATTTGACTTCTCTATATTTCTTCATTTGCCAAATGAAGGGAATGGACTAAATGACTTAATATCCCTAAATTCTACTATCCTTTGACCTAATTACATTAACAAGCCAAGAAAAAAATCTGTCCTCTTTTATTTTTCATTTCAAAGGAACTCAGTAAAATAAATATATTTTTAAATCACCATTCAATTCAATGCTAACACTAACTCTCAAAACTATAGTTTCATAAATTCAACTTTTGTGTTGCCAAAGGCTTGAGAGGCAAAATTCAGCCTGTTTATTCTGTATATAGCCTCTAAATCTAGAGGAAATAATTGTTAAAAGTGAATAGTGTTCAAAATGGAGTTATAAAGATAACCTGGATGCCAATCAGTGCCCTGTGAGCTTGCTTTTATAGGAGCTAACGCTGTCTTCCTTTAGTGCTATGGCACCCAATCCTATACCAACCTACTCTATGAGTCCCATTATCCAAGACAAGTTTGAACTTGGAGAAGTCACTTAACTTCTCCAGGCCTCAGTTTCCTCATCGGTAAAATGATAAAATTGAATTAGATGGTTACTGAAGTTCTCTAGCTCCTCTAGCTTCTGTGATCCTCTGATCGTATAAGTCTATAAACATTTGTCTCTATAACAACAAAAAAAGGCAAGATGCCTATGCTACAGGAGAAAGGAAAGGGTGCTACAAATGAAATTGCACTACAATAATACTACTATAATAAAGTAGAAGGTCCTATATAATAACATTTCTATATATTATAATATTCATACTATGATGATTATATTTCTACATATATATTTTTACATAATAATATTTCTAATTCCAAATAGAAAGTCCCCAAACCCAGCATTTCTTGATTTGGCTCCAAGAAACTGTCTTCAAGTGGCAATCATATGGTGTGAACTAAAAGCTTTTTAATCATGCTTTCCCAGTCCCTCTGCTTCAAGTGCCTTCCCTTCTAAGGTAACTTTCCATCTATCCTATATGCACCTATTTATGTATGTGTTGTTTCTTCCTTTAGAATGCAAGCTCCTTGAGAGTGGGATCTGTTGTTGTGGTTTGTGGTTTGCTTTTTACTTTATATCCCCAGCACTCAGCATGATGCCCAACACATAATATGTGCATAACAAATGCTTGTTGACTGACAAATTGACTGACTAATCCCACTTGCCTTCATCTTGTCACTCTCCAGTTTATCACTGTTTTTCCTAAAATATGATGCCAAGAACTAAATATAGCACTCCAGATGTAGTCAGAACAAGGTAGAATACGATGGTAAAAAGCCAACACAAATATCAATTTCTCTGGCTTCTATCACCATAACAGTTACACTCCTGGGGAAGACTATCAAATTATGTAATGACATTGGCAGCAGGAAAAGGGGATGGGAAATCTCCTTTACCAACAGTAGATTCATAGGTTGACTACAAGCAAAATGTGATGAGTTTCCAACTCCAAGATTCTGGAATTTTAAATATGAACAAGTAACAACTTCTATTTAACCCTTCTCACACCTTCCAACCTCTGGTATGTGAACCATTACCTTGAGAAAGTCTATCTCAACTCCCAAACAATTCAAATATTTATTCAAAAAAAGCATCCAGGACCTAAGAGGAATGTGCCTACTTCCTTCTTTCCCTTAATCAGTTCAAAGCATGGGTTTTAACTTGTTAATTCACAAGAGATAAGCCATTAGTTATTTTATTTCTAGGTCCTGCTAATTTGGCAATAAGGCAAAATTCCATGACCACAAAATATTTGATTGCCTTATAGTTCAGGACAATGGGACTTCATTTTTGGCATCTTTTATTTTCTCAAAATTCATGTGGATGATACCACCAAGAAGTGACTGGAATATGGTACTCAATAGCATCATGGATTTGGAAGGGCTCTTAGAGAAAATCTAGCCTAATCCAAACCTGAATAAGAATGCTTAACAACAACAACAACAATAGTATAATGTAACCAGCCTTTGTTTGAAGTCTTCCAGGGAGCCATAATCCACTTCTCTCCCAGGCAGCTCAATCCATTTATGGAAAGCTCTGATAGAGAGTTTTTCATTATCTTAAGTCATTTATTTAATTCTTTCCAACTTCTCCCCACTGCTCCTGGTTGTGTTCTTGGGGGTCAAAGAGAAAGATCCTAATCCAACTTCCAACAGAGAACACCTTAAAGGCTTGTGAAGAAGGCTATTATTCCTTTCTTTTTCAGTCTTCATTTCTCCAGGTGAAACATTAGTTCCTTCAAATAATCCTCCTATGATTTGAACTCCCAGCCTTTCACCATGCCGGTTGTCTTAATCTGGACACCAACCAGTCTGTCAATGTTCTTTCTAAAATGTGGTGCCCAGAAGTGAGTACAGTGCTCGATCTAAGCATGGTCTGTGCAGGGTGGAGTACCCTGGATGCTGTACCTCTCATAGGAAAACTAAGATTGAATTCACTTTCTTGGCTGCCAAATGTCTGCACATCAAAAACTTTGTCTGTTGATTGGTAAAGGGGATGATTAGAAAAGAATCTAGACAGTGTAGTTAGGAAGAGAGGAAAATACTAAGGAGACATTTTCCCAATGGCCTGCCCTGTGGTTTCTCATCAAAAATTATTCAGACATTTGCACCTTCAACATCTAACAGATCTCACAAGTCTGCTTTGACTGTTCAAGGTTTGAAATCCTAGAATAGAGCTTTATAACGTGTGTGTGTGTGTGTGTGTGTGTGTGTGTGTGTGTGTGTGTGTGTGTGTGTGTGTAAAATGAACCCCTTTGGCTATCTGGTGAAGCACAAGGACTCTTTCTCAGAATAATGACATTAAATGTATAAAATAAAATATGTAGGATTATTTTAAAAACTCTGTTGATTGGTAAAGGGGATGATTAGAAAAGAGCCTAGACAGTGTAGTTAGGAAGAGAGGAAAATGCTAAGGGAGACATTTTCCCAATGTCCTGCCCTGTGGTTTCTCATCAAAAATTATTCAGACACTTGCACCTTTATAATGTGTGTGTGTGTGTGTGTGTGTGTGTGTGTGTGTGTGTGTGTGTGTGTGTGTGTGTAAAATGAACCCCTTTGGCTATCTGGTGAAGCATAAGGACTCTTTCTCAGAATAATGACATTAAATGTATAAAATAAAATATGTAGGATTATTAAAAAAAATACTTAGCTTGAAATACAGTAGCAAGATACCGAAAAAAAAGAAAAAAATGAACCAGCAACACAAGTTAAAGGACTCCAGGTTAACTTCAACTCCAATGTAATAACTATTCAGACATAGTCTATTAAAAAGTAGATAATTGTTTCCATACCTCAAACCCAGTCTTATTCTTCAGAAAGAAACCAAGGAAAATTACTGACAAGATCCTAATTCTGCTTCCTCTCTGTCATGTGCTAACATTACACCATCTGCCTTTAAACAATGTTCTAGTATCATGATCACCAATTTTTCATCCTTATCAGCCACATACAATTTTTTTGCATCGTATCAAATACTTTTTTTTTCATCACTTACCCTACCCCCAATAGACCGGCTATATGCTCTTGTCTTTCGTGGTGCCCGTGACATCACCAGCATGGTGCATGATGCTGCAACCTCACTCCATGGAGCCAGATGGCTGCGTCAGGAATTGGATTCTATAGAATTTAAAAGGAAAAGAAAAAAAGGAATATGATGATAATTATGTGTTGAATAGTGTTCTCTGCTTTATAATTCTGGTTCTCCAAATATAGGATCTTGTGGCAAAACAGATAGGCATAGCACTGTCATAACTGAACCTGGGGTAAGCTGAGGCACAAAGTTCCAAGCATGTTCAATTTACTGGTAAGGCTAATAATTACCAATAAAATGTTTATCTTAACTCCTCAGCCAACCAAGAGACCATGAGGTAGGGCTTACTAACCTCTATACGGTTTTGGGAAGTACAAGAGAACAAAGAAAAGGAGACATCACAGCTAGAAAATAATATGATTGGTTACAAATTCTGGAGTATCATAGATGATGGAAAACAACATGATTGGATGGAAAACAATATGATTGGATGGAAGTCTGGAACCCAGGGTTAGCAACAAACCCTCCTTCCACCTTGTTGCTATGGAAAGCTTATTGGTGGTGTCCACCTGCATGGCTAGTTAGTGGCACAGCAATAACAGACTTCCTGGCACCCACCTGCATCTTCAAGGCTTGTTAGTGAGATAACAGATCTCCCTTAATTGTACATGGGCATGCAAGGCTATGTGTATAGAGATAACGTGTTTCTCTGAGACTATAGGACAACTGAATTTTAAACTAACTCAGAAAGGGAAAACTGAACTTTGGACTCAAGAACTTCTAAACTTAACTAAGAGACCAAAAAAAAATGGTCGAGGCAGTTATTGAATAGAATCTATTACAGAATGGAATCAAATAGAAAAAAAGAAAATCAATATTTTATTTTCTCAGCACACAAAAGTTCCAGTGGGTATATCTTCTCTTGAGTTCATCTATTCAGTTCCTGAGAATCAATCAATATACATCCATTTAGGAATGACTATGTGCCAGGCACTGCAGGAATTTTCCAAAATAGAGCTCCTGTTTATAGTAAATATATATGTAGATAGATAGATAGATAGATAGATAGATAGATAGATAGATAGATAGATAGATAGACAGACAGACAGATAGATAGATAGGTAGATTTTACAGGCAAAAGCTCAAGTCTTTCTGTTAGACTGTAAGCTCCTTGAGGGCAGCAACTCTTACCTTGTACCTTCCCAATATCTAGAATGGTTCAATGCATATAGCAGGCACTTAAATTCAATCTGACAATCAATCAGTCAACAACATTTATTAGTCATCTACTATGGGCCCAACAGTTCTGGGTACTGGGGTTTATATTCTGTTGAGGAAGCAATACATATCTACAAATTTAATATAAAATATATAAACAGTAAATACAAATAAATTTCCATGAGGGAAGAAGAGGCACTCGTGGCTTGGGAGGGGTCTGGAAAAACTTCATATAACAGGTGGCACTCAAGTTGAGCTTTGAAGGAAGCAGAAGTTCTAAATAATAGCTTATAATAATACATAGAGTTATATAGCTCTTTAAGTTTTGCAAAGTGCATTACATGTGTGATATCCTCTGACTGACAACAATCCTATGAAGTAGTTATCCCAATTTTATAGATGATGAAACTGAAGCACAGAGAGGTTAAGTGACTTGCCCAGGGTCACACAGCTAGCAAATGTGTAAGGTAGGATTTGAACTCAGATCTTCTTCTTTCCAAGTGCTATACCACCATGTCACCTAGCTGTCCCTAATAAATGGTGGTAAATGGGGCAGCTAGTTGATGCAGTGGATAGAGCAACAGCCCTGGAGTCAGGAGGACCTGAGTTCAAATCTGGTCTCAGACCAGATACTTGACACTTACTAAATGTGTGACCCTGGTTAAGTCATTTAATCCCAATTACCTGTCAAAAAATAATAAACAAACAAACAAACAAACAAATAAAATGAATGGTGGTAAAGAGGGAGCACATTTCAAGTATGAAGACTTGCTTGTGAAAAGTCACTAAGAAAAGAGGTGAAATGTATTCACAGAATAGCATGAGAATAATAATAATAAGCCTGGAAAGATATCCTGGAGCCAGACTACAAAAGGCTTTGAATTCTATACAGAGAAGTTTGTACCTGATCTTTGAAATAAAAGACCACCACAGGAGCTTTGTGAGCCAGGGAGTAACATGGTAAGTAATATGATTTAGGAATATGACTGACATCTGTTTGGAATATTAGCAAGGTATAAGGGAGAAGTGACAAGGGCCTTACCCACAATAATGGCCAATGAGGGGAGAAAAGGGAACAGATACCAAGGGGCAATTGAGGAAGATCCAAGAGAATTTGGCAACTGACCGAATATTGGGCATAAGAGAGATTGAAGAGTTTAGGATGACTATGAAATTGCAACCTGGGTAACTGAGAGGACAGATTTCAAAAAATGGGGAATTTGAGAAGAAACAGAATGAGTTAATATTAAGTTTAGGATGGCTACAGGATATCCAACTGGAAATGGCCAATAAGTCATTGATGATGTGGCACTGGAGTTCAGATGAAAAACTGGCTAGATATGTAGATTTAGAAGTCATTTGCATAGAGATGATAACTGAACCTGTAGGAGTTTTAATAAGCATTTATTATACAAGGTTCACTGTTACCACATTTTGTATTCATATAACATATTTTTTTCTTCAAAGGCTATAGTGTTTTAGAGACTGAAACATAACGTCAATTACAGACTGCACTCAAGTTTTAAATAAACCACATTAAATTTTAAAATTTGGGGCAGCCAATGCTTGGATCATGTGCTAACTTACTCATTGCTTTGTTTAAAATAATTAATAAACTTGATATCAAATTTTGCTTTTCTCTGGAAGAGTTAATAGGATCATAGATTAAGAGCTGGAAGGAACCTTAGAAGTCATTCTAGTCCAATGAGCCCATTTTACAGACAAGGAAACTGATCAATATAGAGTGACTTAACGAACATTTAAGTGCCTACCGGGTACATAGGGCATCTGAGTAGCACAGTGGATAGAGCACCAGCCCTAGAGTCAGGAAGATCTGAATTCAAATGCAGGTCTCAGACACTTACTAGCTGTGTGACCCTGGGCAAGTCACTTAATTCTCTTTGCCTCAGTTTCTCATGTGTAAAATGAGCTGGAAAAAGAAATGGCAAACCACACCAGTATCTTTGCCAAGAAAATCTCAAATGGGGTCATGGAGAGTTGGACGTGACTGAAACGACAACCACCACCATGGGCAAATCACTAAGCATTGCCTGAAGATAAAAAGACAAAAATGAAACAGATACTGCTCTCAAAGGGCTTACACTCCAATGGGGGGACACAACATGTACACAGACAAATGCAAATCAAGTAAATGCAAAATAATGTTGATGTGGAGGCAGAGACAATAATGGGTATTCTGGATAGTTCTTATGGGGTCAGTGGCATTTATTCCCTTCCAGAGAATGAAACTTAACATTTCCTGATTGTGAATTCTCTCTTATAAAAGAAAAAGTCCATCCAATTAAAAAGGGGACATGGAGCACTTTCATTAAGGAAGAAAAGAAACCTGGCCTCACTAAGGGATAGAACCTACAAATCTTGGGAAAGAGCTCTGATGACATAGAACATAGTAATGGCAGATATATTAAACTATTCTATTTTTCATAGCTGAGCTTTCTGACCCTCCACTTCCAAGGGCTCACCATATTGGAGCCAGATTTGGTACAGACACTCAACTAGCTTTAGCTCTAATGCAGCTCAGAACTTCTGAGCTCAAGTGATCCACCAGCCTCAGTCTCTCTCATAGCAGGGATTACAGAGGTGCACAGTAGGATGAGAACAATTCATTCCAATGGCCATGAAGGCTGATGAAGCAGGCCCTGTGGAGTACTTAGAGCTTGATCAGACACAGAAGACACCAAGGTTTTCTACTGCATCCTGGGTCATCACTAGTCATCTTGACTTTTGTCTTGCCACTGGACTTAGATGACTGTGGAAGAGAGAGTGAGCCTGATGACTTTGTGCAATGCTACCTACTTAAATCCAATTTACACTCAAGTCAAGACATCACCCCATGATGTCATTGGGCCTCTTCAAAGCAAAAAGCAAACGACAGCAACCATGCCTAGCCCATGCACATTAAAATTAGGGAAAGCTACCCATCCACAACCTAGCTCATTTGATAATGTTTTCTGGTTGAATTCCTATAAGTCTTGGGGAGATGACAGATGGGAAAAAGATGATAGATATGAAAAGAGGAAAGAGTGCGAGAGAATAAAGAGAAGGAGGAAGATGGAGACAGAGATGGAGAGGAAGGGAGGAAGAGAAAGCTGCTCCCTGGTTCCCTGTTACTCCTTCTTATATAAATCTGAATCAGATCTGTATCTGCTTCTGTTTCTCCCGTTCCTGTTCTACTGCTATCAAATGCCAAATTAATAACCAGTTACCAAGAATACAATCATTAAAAAAAAAAAGTCAAATTGTATGGTAGTAGACACTGCACTTCAAACAAAAGCAGCTAGGTTCAAGGACCGATTCTTCCACTTACTTGCTGTGTAACCTTGGACAGCTCATTTCACCTGAGTCTGTTTCCCCATCTACACAAAAATTAACGAAAAATCTTCTATATCCTAGATGGGTGGTATAAGGGAAAGAATGCTTATTTTGAATCAGAAGACCTGAGTTCAAATCTTGCTCTTCCACCTTCCACATGTGAGACCACGGGCCAGTCATTTAGCTTTTTTAGACATCATTCTCCTCAGCTGGGAAATGAAGAGGTTAGATTAGATGACCTCAAGGTCTCTCCAGATTCTAAATCTATGATACTAAGATGAACCTCTGCTTGAAAATGTCCAGTGATAGGAGAATGCACCAATTTATGAAGCAGCCCATTGCAATTTTAAATAGCTCTAATAGCTAGAAAATTCTTCCTTACACTGTGCTGAAATTTGTCCCTCCATTATTTCTACTCGTTGGTGCTAGTTATTCTCTCTGGAACAAGTATTCCAAACAGATGGACTCACTTGGGCAAAGAAACCAAGGAGGAAACACACAGGAAAGCAGGGCTAGTTCAATATTAAGAAAATTA